CCCAGTGCTTGTAATTTGTGGTTAACTCTGCCAAGACAATTTGCAATAAATAGCAGAATAAGATAACTTCCCCCATCGGGCAATTACTGTAGATGCCAATGAGCTATCTACGACACAGAAGGTATGGAAGAGAGGATGCAAAGAAATAATGCACAGCCTGTTCTGTAAACCATCTGTAAAATCTTCAAGTTGAAATATTCCTCCCATAATTAAACCCCTGCTTGTAATAGGCCAGCTGGCATATTAACAGTGAGCATGTATTTTGTGATTTACTTCGAAACAACATTCATTAGACTCATACAAGACACAGAAACATAACAAATCCTTTCTAATCAGACGGAAAATGCACAGAAATTCTTAATCGAAGTCTATTCAAATAAAAACAAAAATTAGCAGCCCATTAAGAGATTGAATTATTACATTTCCCAAATAATAAAGATGAGATAGCTTATGTACAAGATCAGCTCTTTTTCCTTTACCTTCTTACTTTTTCATTAAATATGCACAAGGGTCAATGGATGAAAAAACAAAAGGACATGACTGCAACAGATGATCCACAGTATCATTCAGTGGATATTAAGAAAAACCCCAGACCAGAGATTTAATGGATTCTCAAGGTCTAGGGTTATTTCACTTTTAAAACTAAATACAGATGTAAATTTAGCAATATTAAACCCAGGGTACATATTAAGTGGCAAGGTCAGTATTGCACTATTACCTTTTTTTTGTTAAAAGAGTACACTCTTTATGGCAGTCCTTGCTTTTAAGGTATAGTCTTTCAGTTTTAACCTTCAAATTATAAAAATTACATCAAATAACATGTTAGGCCTCCTTCAATACTTTCTGTCCTCTGACAAAGTCATAACCGATCTTTGCTATATACTCAGCATCTCAAGTTTTCTCTTCATTTCTTCCACTATATTCCTACATCAAGTTATTAAGGGTTTCCTATTAAAATTTAAAAATAAAAAAAAAAAACCCAAAACATCTCTAACTGTATGATCCTGTCACCAGACTTAATGCTGAACTTTCTATTTCTTCACATCTCACTTGTGGTCATTAAGTATTAGATGAATCAAAAGCTCCCCACATACATCTAAAGAAATCTCTCCAGCTAGCAGTTTGATTTATTGTCCCCCATGACTCATTAGCATTTCAGGGGCTTGGGGGCTACTTTTAGTTGTTTTTTATTGAAGATTTTTCTGCTTCTGGTCATGCTAGTAGTCTTTTAATTTATCAGCAGAGGGGATTGTAATAAAAAAAAGACTGCAATTTTTTTAAAACTCCCAATGCTTTGAAGTAGGAGTACTGACTGCTTGTAATCAATAGGAAGGAATTTTCTGCTACCTCAGGCACACGGGATAATCACACAGAGCAGGTATGGCTCCCCTGTTGACAGCTGCAATATACAACTTCACCGGGCAAGCAGGGACAGACGATGAAGTTAAAGTGATGGCTCTTTCTTTTACAGGCAAGATCCTATAGGCGACCAAAGCCAACAGCAGTGCTGACGTTCCAAATGAATGTTATTTACAGTCTGGAAACTATTAACGTTTTATACCTCCCCGTATACCCTCAAGGCTTAGAAAACAAGCTTCTCCCCCTAAAGTTCCTGCTTCCTACTCCTGCTTTATTCAGCAATAACCTCCTTCCTAAAGTTTCCAGTCCAACAGCTGGCGTCTGAATCATGAAAATACCCTGCCCTTGGCCACACAAGGTGCTGCTTGAACCCTAACATTCTTCCAAAGGCACACAAAACAAATGGCAAGGCTGGCTCCAGTGCTGCTCATCACCCCTACTCTAGGCACGTCCAGCCCGTAATGCAGGTGGAGAACTCGGCTGTCTGGGACCGCAGCTCCTGGAAACCAACGGAGGGCCACGTCCCTCTCTCGGGGGGCGAGCACAGCGCCGGGGCTCATCCTCACAGCAGGACAAGATTCCCGAGGTAAAACTTTAACAACTCCTACAGCCGCGAAGGCGACGCCGCTTCCCCACGCACATTCAGGTGGACAGAAGCCACCGAGGTCGGGGCAAGGGCCGGGCCCCGGGCACGCCGCAGAGGCCACGGGCCGGCCGCGCCTCGTCCCTTCCAGACTGCACGGCCGGGCCCG